TCCTAAGATTTTCTACCTCTGACACCCCCTTCTCCCTCTCTCTCTCTCTCTCTCTCTCTCTCTCTCTCTCTCTCTTCCTCCCCTCTCCCCCCTCCCCTAGTCGACGTTTTTTTTCATAAGCTTGCTTTCACAGATATATTCCAGTTCCAGGATTTATTTTATTTACAAGGCAGCCAGCAAGTGCCATTCTACAAGAGATAGCTATCTTGAAGTGTTCTCTTCCAGCAACGACCAAGATGAAAACGATAGTAGTTTTGCCATCTCTCTGAGAAATAATTGGTGTCAGACACTTGTTTTACGACTTAGCAAGCTGACATGGCTTTAGGGCAAGAGGAGGAAAGAAAGTCTGTTTTCATTGGACAGTTAGTTGACCCTCAGTTTCTTCGTGAGTTTGTTTCTTCAAAAGTACAACCAATGCCATCGTTCCAATAACATCGTAACTTTCCCCAAAATGCTGTCTTTATATATTGTGGGTCTCAGCTACCACGATTGCCATAATTCTGAAAATAATGAGTAATAAATCAAACGACACCCTCATTAAGGGGTAACAGCACGCCATACTACGTGCAGTGATGACAGTTTTCAGGATATGTCGGTTGCTTGAACCAAATTGGTCGCTTTTAAGGACAAGCGGGCTAACCCAGATTTGGGGGGTTTCCAGAAATCTGGACCCTCACCAGAAGTGGGAATTACCCAACCTATAGGAGAAGTTTGGTTTCTTTGGTGTGTAAATTTGTTTCGTTATAGAGAAAAACTCTCCTTGTCTTTTAAAGAAACTGAACAAGGGACAAAAACTTTACCTTCTATTATCTTAAAACAGCATTTTTCGGGATAGCCCCTTGTGCTTAAAAGCGACCAATTGAGGTCTGATGCAAAAGTCAAAAACCATCAAGAACGACGTCTTTCACGCTTAGTCGTATGACCCACCCGCACTCTCTGTCTGTGTCCTGGGATTAGCCTAGTTTATAAAATGCATTTCCTTTTATTTCTTCCCCATTCTGTCAAGTGTGTCTGTACTTTTGTTGCAGCGCTTAATAGACTATTGTAACTAACTTTTACAAAGCAAGTAATGGACCGTGTCTGTCTATTATTATCTCTGCCTGTCTGTACGTATAATGTCAGTCTCTATCAATAATATTCCTTCTTCTTTCTCTCTCTCTATATTTATCTATCTTTTCCCGTCTCTTTCTCTCTCTCTCTCTCTCTCTCTCTCTCTCTCTCTCTCTCTCTCTCTCTCTCTCTCTCTCTCTCTCTCTCTCTCTCTCTCTCT